GATACCAGTAGCCAATGGGTGGGTGGAAAGAAAGAGTCGGGACTTCCAGGTTCCTGACCACTAGGGAGAGGCAGAAAATCAGAAGACTAGGGAGAAGAGGAGAGACTCAGTAGCAGAGGAGAGAAAGCCAACCAACCATGTGAGTTTTCTGGTAAGTGGCCTCTGGCCACTTCCCTGACTGGACTTGGAGTAGCAGGGAAGATTTAAGAGTGCCCAGTCATTGAGTCAGCCAAGGGATTTCAAGATTAACTGGTGTATGTGTGCGCATTTTCTATCTGAGGATCCGAGATAGCTCCTGGACAGGTGTGTTCCTGCAACTTGCTGGAGCTCAAAGCTGTGTAGCAAAACTCCACGCTACAGGACACATTCCCTTTCCACCTACATTGTAGGATACTTTCTCTCCTGCAGCTCTTAAATCTGATCCCTCTCCCAGTGAGTCATGGGGATTCGCTTCCTCCCCTCCCTCGATTCCTTGCCTGTGCAATCTAAAAGTCCCACCTCTTTCACCTTTCAGCCATTAGCCATTGGCAACTTTATTTTCCAATCAGAGCCAACTGGGGGCAGGCTTCCTTTAGCGTCTGAATGTGCAGATTTCCATATGATTCTGGGAGTCGAACTAAGACAAAGCATTAGAACCAATCCCCAATAACTCTCTCCTTGTTATTGCAAAATAAACAGTCAATCCAGGGATGTCCTGGATTGGACGCAAACCCTGGACCATGAGTTCCCATCTTTGGACAATTTGTCATGCCAAAGCCAATTTTGTACAGCCCATGAAGGCAAAGCGAAACCGGGCAATCTGCCATTGCAGATTCACAACCTCACAACACTGAATAGATCACATATAACCACTAACTCCATCCAAGAGCCACTCATGCAGAAAGATATGTCTTTGACAAGAGTAAGTGCAAGAAATCAAGAAACATTTTTAGAATAGTCCCAGACTGTCAAAATTGCCATTATGCTTAAAATTCTACCAGAAAAAAAAAAAAGTTTCACTATTCAGCCTGGAACTGTCTGAGTAGACCAGGCTGATCTTAAACTCATAATGCTCCACCTGCCTCTGCTTCCCAGATCCTAGAACTAAAGCCAAACACTATAATGCCTGGCCTGACCTTTCTTCTATTAAAACTTCCTGTTAGGGGGCTGGAGAGATGGCTCTGCAGTTAAGAGCACCGACTGCTCTTTCAGAGTTCAATTCCCAGCAACCACACGGTGGCTCACAACTATCTGTAATGGAATCTGATGCCCTGTTCTGGTATGTCTGAAGACAGCAACAGTGTACTCATATACATAAAATAAATAAATAAAAACAAACCAAACTCCCTGTTAAAATATAAAATTCCCTGGAGGGGGCAATATGTGAAGTAACATATTCCCAAATCCATCCCAAAAGAAGCATGGAAATTGTTCTTTATGATTAAATTATTTTAGAGGTACTGTCTTGTTAGAGTTTTATTGCTGTGAAGAGACACCATGATACAGGGGTGATGCAGGATATTTATTTGATCACACTGTGAACCCTGAGATTGTGTTATTTACTGAAAAGCTCCTAGCAAACATCATTAATCCTCTGCCTGAAATAAAGACAACACCCTTAGTATACATTTTATATCCCAAACAATCAAGGTAAAGCTAGTTTGTAAAAAGAACCATCCATGATTGAAAGTGATGTTTAATTGAGTGGCAGACAAAGTGACAAATCAGAGGAAAGATATGAAAGAATAGGATATGTCCAACTCTCAAGAAGAGAGGAAAGGGAAGCTACTTAAGAAAGAGTGGTGCAGAGAGGAAGGAGGGAAAAAGGAGGGGGTTTTACTTCGACAGTTATAGGGAGACAGGTTACAGAAAGAGAACAAGCCAGAGAATAAGAAGCAGCCAGAACATTAGAATATTATTGCCAAAGGTTGTATGAGGCCAAGCAGAGCAATCCAGGCAGAGGCCAAGACAGATGCAAGATTGAATTGGTCAGCTTGGAGAGAAGTTTTGAGCCAGAACAGTTGAGTTGACCAGCCAGCCAGGAAGAGCTAGAAAAGGTGAACTTACTTAGCAGTTAAGTGACAGAGGCTGAAAACTTTCTAGGCCTAGATTAGATTATATGGAGGCTAAAGTTTCCAGGACTGGGCCTAGCAGTAGGATTAGCAGACCGAGACAGTAAGCCTCAGAAACAATTACTCCAGGCAAATAAAAGATACAATTACATTGGGGGGTGCAAAGTTATGCTGAATTCTCCAGGTGAGTCCCATTTGATCTCATGAGCCTTTAAAAACAACATTTCCTGACTATGATCAGAGAAAGGCAAGTAATGCTGGAAGCCTGGCTGAAGACATGATATATCCTTAGCTCTAAGGATAAAAAGGGAAGCATCAACCAGGGCTGACAGTGAAGCCTCTAGAAAACTGTCAAAAGAGAAACATATTCTCCCACAGCAGCTCTAGAAAACAAGACAGGATTCTCCATGTCAACCCAGTGAACCTGTGTCAAACTCCTCATCCATCAGACCAGAACACAGTGAGTTTGTGTCATTTTAAGATATCGAGTTGTGGCACTTCCTACATGTGCATCAGGAATACTGACACCCTAAGAGATTCCTGGTGAAATCTGATGGATTAAGCCCTCAGGGGAGCTGTTCACATAACCCAGCGCTTCAGAAACTACCAAACACTACATCTCTAGTCTCCCATAACATGTATCGGTATCTTAATACACTCTCAGGAGCATCTCAGCACCATTTAGCCCTGTTTTCTATATGATGGGTAGGTAAGAAAGTGGAGCATAATCTGGTAGTCTCTGATGGGGCAGCATGGACATCCGAGAGGGGAGAGCGGAGTGAGGAAACCCACTGGACAACGGTGAATAGAGAGGTGGAAATCTACCACAGATACACTTCAGTTGCTTCAGAACTTGGTTCGTTCTGATCAGTAGATTGTGCCAACTCATCCTTTCCCTCAGGTTCACTGTCTTCTGTAGAGAAATTCCCATGGCTTCCCTTTCTACTCCAGAGCCTAGTTGGAAGCTCCTCCTATGTGCTCATCTGACTAATTTATCTGCTTCTGCTCTGGGTATCAATGCCCTGAAATTACTTATTTGTTTGTCCCCAACTACGAACAGAGAAAAATTTGACAGACTAGGCTATGGACATCTCTAACAAGAAGAGAGAGGGAAGGGAAGCTACTTAAGGGAGAGACAGACAGTACAGAAAGAAGAGAGTGCAGTACAGGGATACAGTAGACATCCTGGAGAGTACAGTACAGTACAGTTGAGCAGAGCAGCACAGAGAGGGAGAAGGAGGCAGTTTTATCAGGAGAGTTTTACAGAGACAGATTGAAGAGAGAACAAACTAGACACAGGTAAAGACACAATGAGCAAGAGAAGGAGCCAGAAGATTAAAAAATTGAAAGGATTGGTAGATTTAGTTTGAGACCAAGTAGAGTAATTCAGGGGCCGAGAGAGAAGGCAGATTGAGTCAGTCAGCTGGGAGAGAAATTTGAGCTAGAACAGGTGAGTTGAACTAGCCAGCTAGAGTTCAGAAAGAACAAGAAAGGGTGAGCTTATTCAACAAGTCTCAGAGGCTGACATAGATTAGATTTTATGGAGGCTAGAAGTTTTTAGGACTGGGTCTAGGTTAGGAGACAGAGGCAGAAAGCTTCCCAGACAACAATTACAACAGGAGAATAAAAGTTACTTTTATAGCCTGGTCTACAGAGCAAGTTCCAGGACAGTCAAGGCTACACAGAAAAACCTTATTTTGAAAAAACAAACAAACAAACAAACCAAACTAAACCAAGCAAAAAACAAAAGGGAACTTGTTGGGAGCCAAGTCCTAACAGAAAGCGGCTATCATCTTTGCAGCCATCTCAGGGCATATATCCTGACAAGAGACTTGTTTTCACCAGCCCACAACAGCTGAGCACACTCTGATAAACATCTTGTTTTTCTCACATATCTTGTTTTGCTGTTTAGTGCACAGCTGCAAGGTACACGTGGTAAAGTGTCTTCAGCTGTGTTCTCCTGCGTGTGCTTATATATACCCAGGATTCCCTTCCAATAAACGGGCCTCAATCACACGCTCTGTCTTGTCTCTATTCTTTGCGTCTCTTGTCCCTCAAACCCCATTCTCTCTCTTGCTAGACACTGTTGACTGACCCGAACGAGCCAGGACAAAGTGGCCCTCAAACGTGGGGCAGAATGGGTCGTTACACGAACTTTTTATTGTAAGGTAAGGGCTCACTAAGTTGCCCTGGATGGTATTGAACTCTTGATCCTCGTATCTCAGTCTCCAGAGTAGCTGAGATATAGGCCTGTACCATCAAGCCTGTGACCTTTAGCCCCAGTGAAACAAGCAAAGGTCTTACCCTGTTTGTCCGTAGTTTACAGGACATCTGTCTAGGCTGCATGAGAGAACAAATGGTACACTTCCAAGAGAGTTTAAAGGAAGTTGGTCAAAGTTGAGAAGTTGTAGAGGTGAAAGGGCTTGCTGGGGGAAAGGAAGTGCAGTGCTAAACCAGGTCTTGTGTAAAAGATAAAAATGAGAACACAATCTTTCCACAGGAAACAGCTGGGTAAGAGTGGCCTAAGGATCCCTGGACAGGTGTAAGACCTACGGGACAGACAAGACCTAGGGGAACACAGTTAATTGTTCTGAGCAACCCAGAAGTGCACAGACAGGCACATGTACTCAAAGACATGTTATAAAACTGAAAACATGAAAGAACCTCTTGTTATTAAGGTGTCCCTCCCTGGGTTCGAAGACTTGCCTTAGAAGAAACACTGAGCAAACCCGAAGTGCTAGAGCCTGACTGCAGTGCTCGGACAACCATTGGTCGAAGCGCCTCAACCCTGAAACTACAACTCCCATTATGCATCGCGCAGCGTGGGCTTAAACCCAGGATACACTACAATCCCCAGAATGCTTTGGGAGGGGCGGGGGACGGCGAGGCTACGTCTGCGTCAAGAGACGTTAAATTTGAAACTTGGCGGCTCGGGCGTGATGGGGCGTGAGGTAGCTACTTTGAGAAGGAATCGTGTATGTGATTTAGTTTAGCAGCACTAGGTGACGGTATTCGCAGGTCCAGAGCCAGCTGAAGATTGAGGGAAGTTCAGACAGTTGGCACTCTGAGGAAAAAGGTCTGCAGCCGTCGAGAGCAAGAACTGGGAATGCAGGATGGCGGCGGCGAGGTAAGGACCGTAGCCAAGTTGTTGCAGCTGGGTGCTCTTGTGGCGAGGAGGATCGCGGAGATCGGCAAAGAGCAGGTCCTCCTAAACCCCCTTCCCAACGGCGTGGAGCCCTGCATCCAGCCAAGGAGCAAAACTGAGAGAGCTTGGAATTTGCCTTGTGATCAGAGTCTGAAACTCACCTCAGCCCTTTATCTTTGACCTTGAACATGTTTATATGGGGAGGAGGGTCACGCAGATATTAATACTGTTTTATGGGGTTCTGGGAGAATTCAAGTTATTTGTAAGTTATTTGCTTTCAACTAATAGGTGTTCTCATTTTGCTAGTAGCATAGGGATCTAAAGAGCAGAACACTTGAAGCTTTTCCTCATCTATACAATATAGAGCGGTTTTTCTAGGTTAGAATTTAATATGCATTTTAATTATGGAACTCATAATAACTGGGTCATTGCCCTGTCATAAACTGCCATTCATGGAACAGAATTTATTGACTACCGTTTGAGCACTGAAGGCGAACCGTAAAAGACACAAAATCCCAACCTTTGTGCAGCTTAAGTTCTGGGGAGGAATGAATTGGGTGTGTGTGTAAAACAGTAAGAGATTTAAAAGCAGAATCGGTATTAAAAGTATAAAGCAAGAGATGGCAGGCAGCACTGGAGGTGGGATTTGTGCAGTTTCAGAAAGGTTTGGACGTGTAGCTCGGGTAGGGCACTTGCTCAAGGGACATAAGGCCTTAGATTCATTACCTAGCAATGAGGCTTGGGGTGGGGGGTAGAGGCAGGGGGAGATTTGAACAGAGTCCTCACTGATGAGATGGTATTTGGGTTAAAACTAGACAGGTAAGATGACTTTGGACAGAGATGATTGTTACCATGACCAAGGACCTGTTTGCTCATGCCCCATGGTGGATGGAGAGAACCACCTCCCCAAAGTTGTCCTCTGACTTACAGAGAGGTGGGGGGGGAGGGGGAGGGGGAGGGGAGGAGAGAGAATATATATTTATATTTTTTTTTTTTTTTTTTTAAAGAAATAGGAGTGGAGGCTGCTGCTGGCATCTCATTGTCACGTGAACCCATGTCATACATAGAACTGCTAGCTTTTTTTTTTTAAAACTACTTTGCTAAAATTATGATGCTTTTAAAAATTATTTTTCCTGGCTTTAACTTATTTGTATAATATTGTCAACAACCCTCCCCCCTTGCCAAGTTCTCTCTTCGTCGAGCATAAACTTGGAGAGCATGTAATAGGCCCAGAAGCTGAAAAGAATAATAATGGTCCCAATGTACCAGCTTCGTCCAACCCCAAAGATCACGAAGTCACCTCTCTGAAGATGGTGTCACAGGGTTGTGCTGTAACAGTGTTGGCGTTGGGTTTATTTCTGTTTCCTTCTTCATAGTGAAGCCATGTGCCTGGAGGGAGATGAGTGGGAGCTGAGTAAAGAAAACGTACAGCCCTTACGGCATGGCCGGATCATGTCCACACTTCAGGGAGCTTTGGTACAGCAGGAGTCAGCTGGCAACGCTCCTCTGCAGCAGCAGAAACGGTATGGAGAGGGGTGGTTTGTGTTCAGCTTGTTAGTCCCAGGTGAGGTAGGCAGTGTGCGGATGAAGCTGCGGAAGGCCCTGAGGCAGTGAGTGCTTCTCAACCTTCCTAGTGCTGTGACCCTTTAATGTAGTTCCTCATGCTGTCGGTGTGTCCCCAACCATCAAATACTTCGTTACTACTTCATAACTGTAATTTTGCTACTGTCATGTGTCTGATATATAAGATATCTGCTATGTGACCCTGTGAAAAGGTCCTTTGACTCCCAAAGGGGTTGCAACCCACAGGTTGAGAACCACTGCCCTAAGGAATACTCTTCAGTGATAGTATGGGAATCTGTTCTCTCCGTTTTCTGATTGCAAGCTTTTCAGTTGCATGAGATAGTATTTATTTCAGGCTAAAATGTAAAGTGCAACCATACTTATTGAATTAGATCTTTGAAAACAGTGTTCTTATGGTTTCTCTGTAGACAGTAGTAGTCTGTTTGTTTTTTTGAGTCTGTCTCTTTCTATAACCCTGGTGGGCCTAGAACTCACTATGAAGTTCCAGGGTGCCATTGAACTAACAGAAGTCCTCCTGCCTTTGCTTCCTGAGTGCTGGGATGACACCACGTGCTACTGTGCCTTTATTTTATTCTTAGTGCTTGCTCTGGTGCCTCGAGCTTGATCCTGGACTGGACTCTCTACTTGTCTGACTCTCCTTGCTGTCCACCCCGTCATGTTTCATCCCAGTCTCTGCCCTCACTTTTGCTTTTACGTTTACCCTGGATGTCTCTTGCCTTCTCAGTGTCTACTCCTGTCATGTGTAGGCAGCTCTGGGAGTGTGGAAATGGTGCTCATTTGATAGGAATCATACTTTAAGGGTGAAGGATATTGGAGGACTACCTTGGGTTGCTGGGCGGCTGTAGAGAGCCGTAGTACCCAGTTACCCCGAGTCTCTGAGGCTGAGCTGTGGTCAGTGTGTTGTGTTGCTAAGTTGTGGCACCTGGCAGGATAGATGTAGTTAGTGATTTTTCACCTAGGCTGATTTCAATGATGACAGGTTTATTTGGATGTAATTCTGTTGTCAGAGAATAAACCTCTTCTTTCCTAAATGACCTTCCTTTTTCTATTTTCCCCATTTTGGTTAACGTTACAAAACTCATCTGAATGACTCTAATTCATTGCTCCCTCATCTCCCCCCCCCCCCTTTTTTAAAAAAATGACTTATTTTCCATTATATGTGCATGTGTGAGTATGTGTGAGTACAAGTTCGCAAGGAGGTCAGAAAGGGCTTTGATCCCCAGAGCTTGAGTGAAAGCCTGATGTGAGCTGCCCAGCACGGTGTCCTCTGCAAGAACAGTGTGTTCTTGTAGCCCTTGACCCATCTCCACCTCTCTCATGCTTTCAGGGATTGGCCTCAGGTCCTCCCGAATACTAAGCGTGCATTTCCACTGAGCTATTCCAGTAGTGCTGGGAATTTCTTTTGAGTATAATTTGGATAGAGCACACTTGGATCTTTGAGTGTGCTGTAAGACAGTGCCTCTCGTCACAAGCCCTCACTTTAGGAAGTTCCCTCGTTCTCCTCAGTCCTTCTCCCCTCTCCACGAAGCACCTGCTGATTAGATAGAATTCTGTCAAGATAAGACTTTGGAGCTTTGTTGTTTGTGATAGGGTCTTGCTCTTTAGCCTAGACTGGCCTCAACCTGTGAGTCACCTCCTGCAGTCCCAGGTGATGGGCTTGTGGGGCACGGGTCTGTCACCGTGGCCAGCTTATTGTAGAATATTCTGTAGGTAGAATCCCATGGCTCCTTCATTCAGTGACGTGTGTTGAGTATTTCTGTTGCATGTGCTATGTGTCCTTTTCACAGCTGAGTGAGTACTCTTTACCACTCACGTTTCCCTTCAGTCTTTTGTTCTTTGAAAATCAAGCCAGTGAGTATTTAATAACACTTTTTGTGGACGTGATTCCAACTACCCCCCTTGGAATGGAATTGCTGGGTCATAGAGTAGCTTAAACTCAGGACCATAAAGGCAGGTGATGTACTAGAAAAATTCCTCTTTTCTTTACTATATTATGATTGTTCCTAGTTCCTACCTCCATTTTGGCTTCTTAAAACCATTACTATCTGTTCTTGGCAAGGGCCATGCCCGTTTTGTATTGTTGATTTTTTTTTTCTCATGAGTATACTTGGCCATTTTTATTAGAAGTATAATTCTTTTGTATCAGAAATAGTTTTATTTGTTTATTTATTGTTTTTGGACAGGACTTCCCCAAGTATCCTAGGCTGCCCTTGAACGCACTGTGGTAGCCTGACTGGCCTTGTACTTTCAGCCTCTCTTGTACAACAATTACAGACATATGACACCTTGGCTATTTTATTATTAATATTTTAAAGGGTTTTCTCTTGATTGGTTGGTTTTGGTTTTTTGAGACAGTTTTTTTTCTGTGTAGCCTTGGCTGTCCTGGAGCTTGCTCTGTAGACCAACATGGTCTAAAACTCACAAAGAAAGATAGGATTAAAGGCTTATGCCCGCCACTACACCCACATTGAAGTTGTCTTTACAATACCCATTATTTTATATTTTTTATTACTTGACATTTTCATGTTTCTATAATTTTCTTGGTAATTTTCACACTTTCCCCTTTACTTTCTTATTTCCCTCTGATTCCTGCCCAACTCCTCTTTATTCTCAACAAGAACCATTCCTATTTTCAGGCCTTTTCTGTTGTTTTGTTGGGTTGTATGTTTTGTGTGTGCATGTGTGACCCACTGTGTTGAACTAGGGTTGCTTCCATGAACCACGGAGTACTTGGTCATGAGTAACCAATAGTGACTGTAACCTGAAAAAAAAATGACTTCCTTTTCCAGCAGCCGATAACTGCTGGTAGCGCCTCAGGGAGCCGTGCGGCCTCGTAAGCCTGTCCCCATCTGTAGTTGAGTGTCACTCGGCCTGATCTTGGTTGTCGGGTTTTGTTGTTTAGTATTTATTTAGTGTATGTGTGGAGGTCAGAGGACAACGTGCAGGAATGTGGGTCCTGGATCATGTCCTCAGACCTGGCAGTGAGCACCCTTGCCCACTGAGCCTTCTCTTTGGCTGTTGACCCTTTCTTGTTCAGGTCTGTGCAAGTAACCACAGCTGCTGTGAGTTGGTGGAGAATAGCCATGTTGTGTCCAGGAAACTGTTTGAGGATGCTTTTCTCCATTTATCTCTTTCCATCCTCCTCTGTGATGCTCCCTGAGCCTTGGAGGGGGTGATAAAGATGTCCCATTTAGAGCTGTGCACCCAACAGTTGCTTGTTCTCAGTGTTTTGACCAGTTATGAGTCTCTGCCTTCTCTGTCCCCCACTACAAAAAGAAGCTTCTCTAACCAATGCTGATGTACATTCCTTCTTCTGACCTCCATGGGCACCTGTATGCACATACCCACACAGCAAGCACTATTAAAAATAAATCTTACCCCAGTGCTGGTGTAAGTCTTTAGTCCAAGCACTGGGGAGGCAAAGACCGGCAGATTTCTGTGATTTTTTTTTTTTTTTGAGGCCAGCCTGGTCTACAAAGAAAAACCTTGTCTTCAAAACAAACAAAAACCTTAAAAAATATGTATATAAACAAACCTAATAAGTAATATGATCCCCATTTTATAGGTGAAAAATCAGAAAGCAGAGAAGTAGCTATCCATTGTCTGAGCTAATGAGTGTAGAGCTGGATTTTGTTTTTTTGGGTTTTTTTGTTTTTGTTTTTTGCTTTTTTCGAGACAGTTTCTCTGTGTAGCCCTGGCTGTCCTGGAACTCACTCTGTAGATCAGGCTGGCCTCGAACTCAGAAATCCGCCTGTCTCTGCCTCCCAAGTGCTGGGATTAAAGGCGTGCGCCACCACTGCCCGGCTTGTTTATTTTTTAATAAGCTTTCATGGAGAGCCCTGGCTAGCCTGGAACTCACTGTGTAAATCCAGCTGTCCTCAAACTCAGAGAGATCTCCCTGCCTCTGCGCTGAGTTCTGGTGTTAGAGGAGGCCTGCACCACCACACGGCTCAGAATCATAATTATGTCTATTCTTTTTATGTATTTATTTAATATTGCTGGACTTTCTTGGAACTACCAGTAGATGAATAGTGACACAGACTTAGGATTTTTTTTTTTAATCTTTTTATTTACTTATGTATATGGGTACACCATTGCTCTCTTCAGACACACCAGAAGAGGGCACCAGACCCCATTACAGATGGTTGTGAGACACCATGTGGTTGCTGGGAATTGAACTCAGGACCTCTGGAAAAGCAGTTGTTGCTCTTAACCACTGAGCCATCTCTCCAGCCCAGGAATTTTTATTATAGCTTAGGCTACCTTCCTTTTTTACTAGCTTAGGCTAGCTCATCTAACTTAGTTAATCTATTTTAATTTCTCCACCACTGGCAAATCTTTCCTATCCCTCAATCTTCTAGAGTCCCTGTCTCTGCCTGCAAGTTCCGCCCTCCCTTCCTACTTAGCTATTGGCTGTCAGCTCTTTATTAAGCCTATCAAGTGAGGAAGGTGCTTGTTTACAAAATGCTGAGGCAAGTGATGCCCCATAAGAATGACAAAATCAAAATCCAGCCAGTACTTAGCTTTCTGCCAGTACAGAATTAACAACTGAATAGTACAAAGACAACTTCACACAATGCATCCCAACAATTTAAGTGTTGTGGGAAATATTAAAAAAGTGGCACCATCCCACAATATACCCAGCTACTCTCTGCCCGCCGTCTTGCCACCTCTAGGCTAGCCCTAGTCGGCAGTCTTCCCTTCTCTGGTTTTCCTGACTCAGAGCCGCCTGTACCTTCTCAGCCATCTACCCCTGTGGCTAGTTGTCACAAATCCCCTTAACCCAGTAAATCAAAACTCTAGAAACTTATAATATGTGGGGAAAATTAAAAAAGGCCGCCACAGCGGCGCAAGCCCGCCGCCGTGGCGGGTCCCCACATCAGGGAGGGAGATCCTACGGTTCCAGCGGCCTGAGGGCCTTGGCGGCGGCAGGCCCCAGTAACACGAGGAAGTCCTTGGTTCCAAAAAGGTTTATTGACATGACGGATAATAGATGGATCTAGGCGTATCCCCCAAAAACTCAGGGCCGTCCCGAGTTATATAGGGAGGGAGAAAGGGGGAGGATTAGGGGAGGATCTGGGGGGAGGAATGTTTAATTTGCTCTGCCCTCTGGCCTTCATTAGTATGTAAATCTCTAGGGCCTGAGGCCTATCGCCTGGGTGACTCTATGGAGATCTGTGACTGTTTTTCAGGATCTTAGGTGATGGGAGGGACCGAACTCCTGCCGGTTCTCATGAGGAATTTCACAGAGAATCTCGGGGTTCTAAGTACCTGCTCAACCATGACCCAGGATACCCTTATGCAGTACCACAATAATATATCTTTCAGATTTATATATCAATAAATTCTCAATTCACAGTCCACACAGTAATTTCTGAGCCAATTGATAATGATACAGGCTGCCCACCTAGATTAGACAAGTTGTTCCAATTATTCTATTCTCTTATGATATTCATAGCTACCTGTGGCTATTTAAAGCCACGCAGAATCTGAATCATCTTCCTCCTCCTCTTCCTCCATCTTCCTTCCTTCCTTTCTCTCCCTGTCCTCTCTCTCTCTTCCTCCCCTAAACTTTTCAGCTCCTCCTTCCCTTCCACTGCCCAATCACAGGCTTTTTGTATTAATATTTAAATTAATTGGGGGGAAAATTGTGTTACATTTAAGATTTATTTGTATTATTTAAAATTGATATATATGTGTATTTGGGTATGTGCATATGGATGCATGTGCTTGCTAAGACCAGAGGTCATCAGATCCCTGTCACCTAGAGTTCTAGGTGATTGTGATCTACCCGATTCGGGTACTGAGAACTGAACTTGGGTGGTTTGTTTGTTTGTTTTGAAATATTTTATTTTTGGAAGGATGGGATTGGAGAGATGGCTTAGTGGCTAAGAGGACTTACTGCATTTGCACTGGATTCAAATTTGATTCCCAGCCACTCATGGCGGCTCACAGCCAGCTGTACTTCTCTCATATTTCTTCCTGCCTCTGTGGGCACTGCAGCACATACATACATGTAAGCAGACACTCATACGTAAATAAAGCTGTAGGTAGTTATGGGTGCTAGGAATCAAACTTGGGTAGTCTGCAAGAGCAAGCAGAACAGACTTGGTCTCCAGTTGATAGGGTGTGGGAAGGATTAAGAGCTGTGTCCTTGTTGGAAGAGTGTCACTGGGGGTGGCCTTTGAGGTTTCAAAAGCCCAATTGGCCCTGTCTGCCTGGAGCTTACAGAGCAACACCATAAACTCTCAGTTATGCTCTAGCTGTGCCTGCTGCCATGCTCCTTGCCATGGTGGTCATGGACTCTAACTGCCTAAAACTGTAAGCCCCCAATAAGCTCTTCTGTCAGTTGGCTTGGTCATGGTGTCTTATCACAGCAATAGAAAGTTACTGATACAGCACTTTCAACTGCTGAGTCATCTCTCTGCCTGAACAGTATTTCATAATTGATTTGGTGTGATTTTTGGCCTTTTTTTTTTTTTTTAAAAGCTGGCTTTTGAATCTACTAGGGTCTTGAGTACTGTACCACCGAGTTAAACCCAGACTATTTTTCCATTTAACAAATTCTCAAAAACTCTAGTCTAGTTACTTAGATCACCGTGAACTCCTTGAGAAGTGAGTAGAAATGGAAAGGAGACCTGTTTCCTGGGGCTGTCGGAACTGCTCGTGCTAACATACGCTGTTTGAATTCCAGGGCATTTGAATCTGAAATCCGCTTTTACTCTGGCAATGACCCTCTGGATGTTTGGGACAGGTGAGGATGTTTATACGGAAAGAACAACAGAGACATTACAGATGAGTGTTGTTGGCTTCATTTCTCAGATAGAGGGATGTGGTGTGGTGGATGGAGCAGACAGTGCTGTTTGGCAGAACATTCCAGAACAGCCATGGTGGTTTTCTAAGGTTTGTTGTGCAGGGCTGTGCATAGATCCCAGAACATTACATATTCTAAGGAAAGGCTATATAGTACTTATACTACAATTTCCCTGAGGTGTTTAAGGCTGGAGCATGAAGGCATGTTACTCTCTTTCCATTTTTTTTTTTTTTTGTTTTGTTTTTGTTTTTTCAAGACAGGGTATCTCTGTATAGCCCTGGCTGTCCTGGAACTCACTCTGTAGACCAGGCTGGCCTCGAACTCAGAACTCCGCCTGCCTCTGCCTCCCAAGTGCTGGGATTAAAGGCGTGGGCCACCACTGCCCGGCCCTGGCGTTTCTCTTTTTCCTTACAGTATTTGTTACAAGTACTTCAAGAAAGCTTGAGAGACAGAGGCTTGGCTCATGTCATTGAGAACTTCTAAAGAAACCTACTTTGAATAAGTTCAATATTTCTGCTTAAAAGTCCAGAGTAGAGGGGGCTAGAGAGCTGGCTCAGTGGTTAAGAGCACTGACTGTTCTTTTAGAGATTCTGAGTTCACTTCCCAGCACCCACATGGTGGCTCAAAACCATCTGTAATGGGATCCGATGCCCTCTTCTGTTGTGTGAAGACAGCTACAGCATACTCATATACATAAAATAAATGAATAAATCTTAATAAAGAAGTCCAGAATAGAAGGCTTGAACAATTGCTTATCTGTTAAAAGCATTGGCTTTTAGAGGATTGGGTTGTGTTTCCAGCTCTCTTATGGCAGTTTACAACCCTATAAAATTCCATCCTAAGGGATCTGATGCCCTCTTCTGGCCTCTAATGGCACTGCACAATGCAGTATATAGACATACACACAAATAATAAGTAAATCTATAATAGGTTGGATGTGGTGGGACATGCCTTTAATTTAAGCATTCAGGAGGCAGAGGCAGGCAAATCCCTTTGACCGCGGAGAGAAAGGCTTCTCATCTCCTGTCCCGTGAGTTGGCGCACAGCAGCAAGAGACACAGGACACAAGCCGGGTGGCTAACTAGAGTACAGAGAGCTCCGGGGCGGACCAACGACTTCTCTCCCTTCCCCCGCCCTGCGCAGACAGGGGCCCTCGAGCCTTGACTTACTCGAACGAAGAGTCCAGAATTCAAGAGACATGTGACGATTTAAGATCTGTGGATTTATTAACAGATGACTTAGGTGGTGAATGGTAAAGGGCTCTCCCGAAACATGTTTCGCTTATATACTGGAAACGGAAGAGAAGGGCGGGGCAAGAGAAATCTTGAGGCAGAGACTTGTTCTCTCCGCCCTCTCTCTGGGCTCTGGGGGGCGTGGCCAAATTACAGTCCCACACACATTGTTGAGTACAGGCCAACCAGGGCTAGAGAATGAGACTTAAAAACAAAAGCAAAAAAACCATTGAGAATGAGCCTTAGAACCAAAGCAAAAGTATACATCAATGCAGAAATGTTCTTTTCCTTTTCCTCTCATCCAGGTATATTAATTGGACAGAACAGAACTACCCTCAAGGGGGGAAGGAGAGTAACATGTCCATGTTACTAGAGAGAGCCATAGAAGCACTCCAGGGGGAGAAGCGCTATTATAGTGACCCCCGGTTCCTCAATCTCTGGATCAAATTGGTGAGTGTCATCTGAACTCAGAATATTAAATTGATAGTTTTTCTGTAGAGGTATCTAATTTAAAATGGCAAAAGTCAAGCCATTTAGCTGGTAATGATTAATAAGTATTTGGATCTATTGAGTTGCTTTGACCTAAAGGTTTAAATATAGCATTGTTGCAGGATATTTATTTGATCACACCGTAAACTCTGAGATTGTGTTATTTACTGGAAAAACCTGTTTCTAGTTGTGTGGCTCAGCCCTGGCACACACTAATCCAAGAATGTTGTTGGATATTTGATTACACTATGAGACTGTGTACTGGAAAAACCTGTTTCTAGTTGTGGTGTGGCTTAACCCTAGCACACACCTTTAATCCAAGAACTTTCTGTTTCTTGTGAACAGGATTAAATACCGTAGGTCAAGAGGAGGAGCAAGCAGTTGACAAGGAGTGAACACAAGAATGATAGAGAGTAGGAGGGAGCCAGGAGGGTGGATAGAGACACACAGGAAGTAGAAAGGAGGGACGTCCAGCTTGAAGGGGTTGAGACTGGTGTGAAGGAGGAGGAGGAGAGCTTCTTTTTCCTCTTGGGAAGTCTGCTGTGGAGGAAGGTCAGCTGGTGCTTTCCCGCCTCCCTGAGCCAGCAGGCTTTCTCCCTGGCTCTAGAGTCTTTATTGGTAAAGTTGAACTTTGGAGATTTTTGTTAAAAGCAGCACAACATCCTGAGGCTTTGTGCTTTAAGATTGGTCATAAAGTCTGTAGATTTTTTTTGAAATTGAGTATAGGTTTTTCATCTGTTAGTTGTAACCACAGTTGAACCATATAACTGTCTCAGAGGAAGAATATGCAGGACAAGCTTCCTTGGTGAGCCCAGAATTCCTTCCTCTTTCTTAGGAGAATCACAGCTGTGAAAGGTGATACTTTAGAGTTATTGGTCTTTGGGCATCTTTCTCCCAGGATATCACTATAGCCAAAATTGCCTCTTGACAGACTCTGCCTTTATATCTAGAACATGCCTGAGGAGTTTCTCCATCACCATATTTATGTCATAAAATAATTCCAAGGTCTCTCAGACATTAATTTTCTTGCATTTACCTTAAAAGAAGTTTTAAAAAGGAAGGATGTTTAGAATTGTTGACAATCATATTACATAATAAAATACTGATACTTGAAACTGACAAAATTTAGAGCTGAAATATATTCTTGCAGACTTAACAAATTTCAGATAAATCAGGTGTGGTGGCTCATACCTGGTTTTCTTAGCAGGAGGATTTTGAGTTTAGGCTAGCTTGGGCTATAAAGTGAGTTCCTGGCAATCCTGGACTACATAGGAAAGTTAAAATAATAATACTGCTAAAATCAAGTATAAGAAGTCATGTAATTCTTATTTCTGTGGGATGTTGGCACGTTTTGACATTCTAGTGACAAGTTAGAATTCACCTGAGATATACTAGTTACAAGACTGTATTTATATCAAGAGATTGTTCTCAGAGAACGTTAAATTGATTTGTTAGCTCAGAAGCTGTGCTCCCTGCTGGCTTATCAAGATTTTTGTCCTTCATTCTATCCTATGTAATATTTGTGTGTATGTGCATGTACATGCACTCACGTGTACATGTAGAAGCTAGACATCAATTCTGAGTCTTATTCTTTTCGAGACAGAGCCTCTGACTAACCCTGGAGCTCACCATTTTGGCCAGGCTGGCCGTCCAGTGAACTCTAGGGATCTGCCTGCCTCTGCCACCCCAGTGATGGGATTATACATTCATGCTGCCACAACTAGCTTTTTTTTTTTTTGTTTTGTTTTTCGAGACAGTGTTTCTCTGTATAGCCCTGGCTCTCCTGGAACTCACTCTGTAGACCAGGCTGGCCTCGAACTCAGAAATCCGCCTGCCTCTGCCTCCCAAGTGCTGGGATTAAAGGCGTGCGCCACCACCGCCCGGCCCACAACTAGCTTTTTAATGTGGGTGCTGGGAATCCAAATTCAGGTCCTTGTGCTTGTGTGGTAAGCATCTTACCAACTGAGCCATCTGTTCACGAAAATAGTCTTTTATGTGATTCATTCAGATGTTAGACTAGATAAACATGTCGAGCTATTTTTTAATTCATGGAATTGATGACTATTTAATTGGAGTTATTAAAAATAACAATTACAGGGATTGGAAAGATGGCTCAACAGTTAGAGAGTTCTTGCTTCTCTTCCAGAGGGCCCCAGTTTGGTTCCCACCAGTTAAATCAGGAGACTCACAAATGCCTGTAACTGCAGCTCAAGGGATTCAGCACTTCTGGTCTCTGAGGGCACCTGTACTCATGTGCACATACGCCCACCCCCCCACCCCCCGAATTAATAATTTCTTGTAAATCAGTGAGAATAATTTCTTTGTTAGTTATGTTGTCCTGATGTTAGTGGAAGGGAATAATGAAGTCACGTGGTGGGAAGTGTAGTGCTGGGCTAGCTGATGGGCTTGGTTAGAGCACTTGTCTCGCTAGCATGCGTGAAAGCCTTCGTTCTGTCCCTAGCATAGAAAAAGAAAAATGTATAATCTAAGTTTACAGAAGAAGTTCTCTGCAGACTGTTAACAATACTACAAAAATTTTTCTTTTCTTTTTTTTTCTTTTTCTTTTTTTTTTTTGGTTTTTCGAGACAGGGTTTCTCTTTATAGCCTGGGCTGTCCTGGAACTCACTCTGTAGACCAGGCTGGCCTTGAACTCAGAAATCCGCCTGCTTCTGCCTCACAAGTGCTGGGATTAAAGGCATGCGCCACCACTGCCCGGCTAGTACTACAAAAATTAAGAGTAAACATTTAGAAACTTGAATAACCATTTGAGCTGGATTTGGTGATGCATATAATCTCTATATTTGAGAGACTGCTTCTTCTTTCTTTTTTTACAAGATTTTATTCATTTTTATTTTATATGAGTGTTTTCCTGCATGTATATAAGTGTACATGTGTGTTCAATGCCCTTGAAGGGCATTGGATCCCCTTGGAACTAGACTTCCAGATGTTTGTGAGCCTCCATGTTGATGCTGTGAACTGAACCTGGGTCCTCTGCAAGAGTAGATCTCCTTAACTACTGACCCAGCTCTCCAGCCAGCCTCTGTGATGAGTGAGCAGAATACTGTAAACCACCAACTATACTGACAGACTTGTTTGTATAGACCTGTGATCCAACTGCTCAGGAGGCTGAGGCAGGAGGATCACAGGGCAAAGCCTGTCTGGACTATGTAGTATACTCAAGGCCAGTCCAGGGAAGTCACAAAGACCCTGCCTCAAAGTATAAAAAGTGCAAGAGGGCTTGGGGTGCACCTTGCTAGTGATGCTAGAGCACTTGCTAGTGGTGCTTTACCACACTGGGTTCAGTGCCAGGTTCAAATCCCAGTAGTGTGGAAAAATATCAGCCCACAATGAAGTGGAAGCTTTCACACACACACACACACACACACACACACACACACACACACAGAGAGAGAGAGAGAGAGAGAGAGAGAGAGAGAGAGAGACAGAGAGAGAGACAGAGAGAGAGACAGAGAGAGAGACAGAGAGAGAGAGAGATTGATTATCCTCACAGTCTGAAAGTATAAACAGCCATCACAATCAAATGCTCAGCTGTGAAATGATTGGTAGTCCCTGAACTATGTACATGGAGCGACAGAACACATATTAAATGACTTTTTTTCTTTCTTTGGGAGGGTGGTCAAAGGTGTAGCAGGGATTCCTCACACTATATTCTTTTTCTTTATGAAAAGATTTTTTCCAGTCAGAATTGTTTTATAATTGATTACTATAATCTAGCTAAGAACAAAATTATTACTAGAAAATCAGTATTTTCAATTAAAGAGGTAAAACTAGTTTGACTATTTAGAGGTTGCCAAAAATGTTTATTTAACTTTTGAATCTATTCATCTAGCCATGTTGTCTTTTTATTTATGTTATGTCTTAAGTGTTCTTATTCTACTCTGAGTAATTTGGCCTTTTCTGACTATGTCATATACAAGAGCAAAAGTCAATCAGAAAGCCGCAAATATTACATTGTTAAGCTTTACCTGTGTTGTGAGAACCAAAGACTAGATCCTAAACTGACATTACACTCAGTTTCCTAAAGCACTATCATGAGAAAACATCACTAATTTAGGTAGGGGAAAAAAACAAAACAGTGTTTACTGATTAAGCAAACCTAAACTATGAAATAATAATGATTTTTGTTAAAAAAATAAATAGAAGCTGGACAGAGTAGCACAAGTCTGTGGTCATAGTACTTCAAAATTAGAAACAATAGGATCCTCCAAAGTTTGAGGCTAGCCTGGTCTAATAGGGAATTCCAAGTCAGCCAGAACTATGCGGCAAAACCCTATCTCCAAAAGCCAGAATAAGATTAAAGGTTTTTAGATGGCATGTTTGAGTCAGTCCACGTTTATCCAACTATTTCATTTTTTCCAGGCTAGTCATATAAAACCCTGCTTAGAGGCAGGGATAGTTCATAGGTAGCAATGCTTTTGTGGAGACTGTTTTATTAGAGAAGATGGGCTTGAAGCCTTTGAGTGTGAGTGTAGCATAGCCGCCATTCAGAGACGGCTGCGTATGTCAAACTGTTACAGGGAAGGTATAGGAACACATATAAGGGCCTGATCAAGTGTTGCTGTGTAGGATCAGATAAACAGAGCAAAGTGTGACTTAGTACATTATAGCATTTTGAGTTTATATAATCCTCTTAGAAAGCAACTTACTACTTCTAGCATAATTTGCTCTCCAGAGGTCTACTTACTTCCTGTGTGTTACTGTGTATTTCCACCTGTGTGAGCCACCTCCCCAGCCTGCTTCAGTTACATTTAAATGGATGCATGACGTTATGTCTAGTTGACGTTCTCTAATTTGTTAACCAATTTTTCTATATTTAAACAACTTCTAATTTTGCCCAGTTATAAATCATTTGTTAAGAAATCTCTTCATGCATTTTACATTTGTTCCTTAAACTCCTAGAAGGCTGGAAGGGTGGCTTGGTTGGTAAGGTGCTTGCTGTAGAAGCGGAAGGACCTGGGCCCTGATCCCCAGTACCCATGCTGTGGTCCCAGTGCAGTGAGTTCCTGGAGTTGATAGCTAACTGATCTTGCAGAATTAGTGAGCTCCAGGCTCAGCGAGAGACCTTGTTTCAAAAAACCATGATAGTTATGGAAAAAGAGGGATCTCTGGCCTCTAGTATGCACCAGTACACACCGGTACACCAGCACACACACAACTCACCCAGAGAAAGAGGGGGGAGACAGGCAGGCAGGCAGGCAGGCAGGCAGACAGACAGACAGACAGACAGACAGACAGACACAAAAATAATTGCACTCAGAATAGCATGGAAAAATGATGCATGTTGTAGTTGCTGTGGCTACTTGGGCTGTCAGGTTTGTGCAGTAGCTGAATATATCTGTGCTCATACCTGCTTCTCATTGTGATAATATTGGGTGGTTTTTGGGATTTTTCCCTTTGAAGAATCCTGATTCTACTAGGTGAGTCTGGATTAAAACCTAGTAGTACTTGTCCTTCTGTTCCATTCCTAGGTGTTGATCCCCAAAGTTAACTTTCCTGCAGTGTCTGCTTTCATCAAGACCTGACTCTTCACAGTGTTCTGTAATGCAGTTCAGAGTACAGGATTGCACTCTGACTTAGATGATTTTCTAATAGCTCAGTGGAGTGAGTGGTTGAATTATACTGTATGATATCAGTCATAATAATACAAATATGGAGGCTTACTGTTTAGTCTGAGTGCACATGTGCTACTTATTCTATTGACTTATGTGTTGAGTGACATTGGATTATTGTTCAGTAAAAATTTGAGGCCAGGTATGGTGACTCTGTCTGCAGTACGAGCACCTGAGAGGCAAAAGCAAGAAGATTGATTATCACATATTCAAGGCCAACCTATTCTATATAGTGAGTCCAGGTCAACCTGGACTATGAGTAAGACCATACCTCCATAAACAAACAAACACAATTTATATAAAAGAAAAATACAGTGAAATAAAATTTTCTTATGGCTAAGAAATGTAGAAATATGTCAAACATGGAATTTTTCTTTTTCTTTTCTTTTCTTTCTTTCTTTAAAAGTTTCTACACTAGCTAGGTAGTGGTGGCATATCCCTTTAATCCCAGCACTCAGTAGGTCAGAGGCAGGTGAATCACCAAGGTCCAGGCCAGCCTGTGTCTACAGAGTGAGTTCTAGGACAGCCAGGGCTACATAGAGAAACCCTCAAAACAAAACAACAAAAATTCTACACTATACCTGATCTTACCAAGTTTCTTAAGTACAAACAGACTTAACCAAATCTTGCCTTTGCTTTTAACTCTCTTACTATCAGACAGAAACAAAATCAGTTTGGCATTTAAGACCTGTGACAGCGTTTTACTCTGGATTCCCCACTGTGCCCTGCCTTGGTAGATTTTGTCTTTGTCTTCACTTATGCCAGACATAAGGAGAATACCCTTCCCTTCTCATTCTGTATCTGATGAGAGTCCAGTTCCTGTCCAGACCAAGTCACGTGTCACCTCCTGTTTGAAGCCTTCTGTTCCCTTGCCTACTTGCAAGGTGATCTCTTCCTCTTGTGTCTTTCTTGAGTCTTTATCCCAAGTGTATTTTATATGTATTCTTCAATGCAGGAACTGCATGTAGCTTCCCCAGTGGTTGTTTAGCACATAACAGGCATTTGATAAGTGAAAGGAAATTGTTAACTGGTACTGTTTTTAATATATTGCAGGGGCATTTGTGCAATGAGCCTTTGGATATGTACAGCTATTTACAAAGCCAAGGAATTGGTGTTTCCCTTGCCCAGTTCTATATTTCATGGGCTGAAGAATACGAAGCTAGAGAAAACTTCAAGAAAGCGGACATGGTATTCCAGGAAGGGATTGAACGCAAGGCTGAGCCCCTGGACAGACTGCAGTCCCAGCACAGGTAATCTGCGTCTCCAGAGCCTGTTCTAATACTTATTTAAATGTCCAAAGAATGCTTTGTTGTATTAAATTTACCTAATTGCTATTTGCCTCTATAAACCTTTTTGTCTTACTGTAAGATGCACTTAGGTGTGCTTACATGTTTTTACCATTCTCAAGGATGAGATGATCCCACTTCCTGTACAAGAATCCGATCATGCTGTTCTTTATAGTTGATACCTGTTCTTTCCCTAACCCTCACAAACACCCACCTGTCCTTCAGCTCTGTAGTTTTGCTTTTCTCAGGATGTCACTGAAGAGCCAGTATGTAACTTTTTGAGTTTAGTTCCTTTAACTAATTGTGCTTTTAAGAATTCTTATGAGTAAGGCATGGTGGTACACACCTTAATCCTAGCACTTGGGAAGCAGAGGCAAGTCAATTTGTGAGTTTGTGGCCAGCCTGGTCCACACCCTATCTCAAAACAAACAAAAAGTATTCTTTATATGTTCCAAATACAAGCCTTTTGTAACATATATATGATTTGTAAGTCTATTTCTCCTGGATTAAGTAGCTTTTATTTAAAAAAAAAATTAGAGCATTGGGAGACGGAACCCTGGAATAATGGCCTCGTTCATTATTCTTTTAACTATCTTACAGAATAAAAAATTTCAATTTTGAAAAACTCTATTGTATGAATTAAGCTTTTTGTGTTTCTGTCTAGTCTACTATAGTCCATAGTACCAACATGGTGGCTTTATGCTAGAGGATCAGAGGATCTGAGGCCTTCTGGTCATCACAGGCACCAGGCACACACATGGTACACAGAAATACATGCAGGCAAAACGTATAAAAATTTAAAAAAAATTATTTTTATCTGATGAGTCATAGTTATAATAGTTATTTTAAAATCTCATCAATGAATAATCTTTATATTGGTGTTTGGTTTTTTTCTTTCCTTTGAGAATTAGTCGCTTTTTTTTTAATGTATCAAGGGATTATGAATTACACGCAGGGCATTCATTCTGATAATGTGCTGAATCCTCGTCTCTGGAGAGTGAGTAATGTTGTCTCGGTAAACTGAATTCCAGATGTCTCAAATTCTTTTTCACCTTAAGGCAATGGTTGATCTATTGTTGGTTGAGCTTTAAGGCCTTTGGGATGCTGTCTTCATTTGTCTCCTACATGTACTGCTCAATTTGTGGAGACGTGGGCAGAGGATTGTGTCATGGTTCAGTTCTCAAAGCCTTTCTGTGTACATAATGAGCTGAGAGGAGGAGTTAAGAGTCCCTGGTCTTCAGCATATGGCCCTCCAATATTCTTCTAATAGCTTTGGCCCTCAGACTCCCCTGTTCCCACTCCATTGGCCAGAAAGGTAGAGTTTCTCAAGGAGTTGAAGGTTTCCCAAATTCCCATCGAAGTAGGTCAAAACCATAGGAGAAGACAGGACTCGGAGGATGTTCGGTCCACTCCTCTGCAGCTCCCTTGCTTTTGTTGACCTTCCAGAGTCATGGCTTTCTCTTTTTATGTGTTTAGAGTTTTAAATTTAAGTGGTAGGAAAGAGAAAGGCGGAGGTGTGTGTGATGTGCCCTACTCGGCACCTACAAGCTATTCTTTGTTTTTCCAAAACTTTAAAATTGTAGCAGCAATGGCATAGAAGTTTAGTTTTCAGGTTCCTGCTAGCTGTGCTAAGGTAAAATGTCATGCTGATGTAAACTCGTTTCATTTGCGTAAGAAAAAAGCTGTGTATGGGGGAGGGGTAGACAAGGCGGGAGTCTAACAGTCGCTTGGCCTGGGTGAAGGGCATTTGGGTCCTCATTTGCTTCTGACACAACTCTGCAAATTTTATTTTCAGATGTATAATAAAAAATTGCTGAGAAACTGAATTTCATCAAGATTCTAGTCTTAGCTGGTCCTCAGAAAAGTCTGGGGATGATTTTTAGAGTATCTTCGATTGGTCACTTGTAAATTTTAAGAGACTCTAAGTCATCATAGCCAGGATGTCCTTATGTCATAAGGTTGCCTCCTGATTCCTAGATAATTAGGTTTCCTTGGAATAGTTCTCCATTTCTCCCCCTCTGGTTTGTTCTTATTGTTAGCAGTAACAAATTAGAAATGTAAAGTCTGATGAGAACTGGTCATTTCTATTAAAGCTGACTGTTCTTGTCTACTTTAGACAGTTCCAGGCTCGAGTGTCCCGACAAGCTCTCTTGGCCCTTGGGAATGAAGAGGAGGAGGTCTTGGGGTCTTCTGAACCACAAAGAAGCACACTGGCTGAGCTGAAGAGCAGAGGGAAGAAGATGGCCAGAGCGCCCATCAGCCGTGTTGGAGGTGCTCTGAAGGGTGGGTGAGCTTGTTAAATGTTGTTTTGGAGAGTCTGTAGTCTCTTGTGGTGGCAAATTATGTAAGAAGGCAGCACATAAACACATAAGTGCATGTGTGGATGGTGTCCTAGTTCCCTGAATACAAGGTAGCAAAGAGAAAAGCTGGAAGAGAGCTAATATCACAGGGTGCAGGAAGGCCAAAGGGGTGTGGTCTTTATGTTGTGACTGTGAATGAGGCTGATACTTGAGATGTGACATTTTCAAATGTAGTTGTATGTGTAATAATATAATAGGTATTGTCAAAATAAAGCTTAAGTATACTAATTCCTTAGTGGATTTAGGTATACCATGTTTAGCTGTTTAGCACTAGAAATGGATACTCTTTTGTACACCCAAAGATAGGCAACAATACATTTTTCTCTTTTATTGAGTCAAGGTTCAAGTTGGCTTCAAACTTGCTATATGTTAGAGTCTGGCCTTGAACTCCTGATTCTTCTGTTTCCACATCCAAGTGCTAGGATTATAGGTAGTACCACATCCGAGCACTAGGATTATAGGTAGTACCCAACACCTGGCATAAACTTTCCCCCCTCTTTTTAATTAGCAGAGACTATTTTTCAAAACTGTTTATAGGGTCATAGCAAAATTGTCTAGAAAGTACAGAGAAAAATAAGCTTTTGTTACTTGAATTTATAACAATCAGACATGTTAACCTGACTGGTTTCTCTTATCTCATTCTTGATATCATTTTAGCGGCAATCAAAATGTGGATTGGAGAGCCTAGAATTAGGGCAGAGGGAGTGTGTACTATCAGAGGCTGTTCCATGATGACGTCACAGTAAAGCTTAAAACAGTTGTCTCAGAGTAGAAGGTCCCCTAGTAAGTGGGGTAGCTCTGTAGCTTTGGTTCTAGTACATCCCTATTATTTCAATTAAGATAACATAGAAAACTGAAAAATACTTAGGTTAGCTTCTGATAAAACTAGGCAGTGTGCTGGCTGTGGTGGTACATGCTGTTGATCCAGCACTCAGTAGGCAGAAGCAGGGGGATCTCTTAAGTTCTGGTCTGCTAGTCTGGTCTATAGAGTAAGTTCCTGGACAGCCAGGGTTACATAGAGAAATCCTGTCTCAAAAACAAAAACACCTGAAACTAACCCCAACCAAACGACGGTAACATTAGGCAGTGTTACAATAATGACTGAAAGAGGTTGTAAGACTTTCTAAGTTATGAGCCAAGAGAGGATGTGGGTCATGTGTAGGACCTGAGTTCCGTTCTCAGCATCCCTATCAGGCAGATCACAGCTGTACGTGACTCCGGCTACAGGGGACTCATACCTCTCACCTCCATAGACACCTGCACTCATATGCATATACTCATATGCATAAACACCCTTAGACATAATCAGAAATAGTAAAGATAAATCTTAAAGAAAAGACTGACGTTTTAGGATAAAGGGAAAAGTAAAGAGAAAATGTAAACTGTATAAAAACGTTACTAGTTGAAGCATTGAGAATTTATTACTGTTTTTTATTAAGATTTACTTATTTTTAATGATTAGTACGTTTGTGGATCTGTGTCTGGGTGTATGCATGTGAGTGCAGTTGCCCTTGGAGGTCAGGGAGCGTTTCTAGAATTTCAGGCGTTATGAGCCACCCCATGTGGGTGCTTGGAACTCAGCTCAGGTCTTCTGCAAGAGCAGTGTGTGCTCTTAACTGCTGAGCCATCTCTTCACCTTAGGGTTTAAAAAACAAAAAAACAAAAAAACAAAAAACAAAAAAAACCCTTTTAAATCTCATTTTGAGGAAGTGTCCCTCTTAATTTGGAGCAGAATGTGTGTATCTTATATGGCATCTAAGTTAATAATTAAGGCTTTTACATGACATTGTCATTGTCACCTTTTTCTCCTAGCTCCAGGTCAGAGCAGAGGATTTCTAAGTGCAGTTCCTCAGCCAGTGCACAGTAATCGCAGGATCACTGTTTTTGATGAAAATGCTGATAGTTCGTCCAGACTGGAGTTCTCTAAGCCTATAGCCCAGCCATGGATGGCGCCCCCTGTGCCTAGGGCCAAAGAGAATGAGCTTCAGCCAGGCCCGTGGAACACAGACAGGCCCGTGGAACGTACGGTAAGGACTCATGGTATTTGCCAATCTAATGAAGACTTGATTGGTCTCTTGGTTTCCTCTTGTTTGAGTTAGCTTAGGCTAACCTTGAACTTGCTGTGAAGCCAAGGCTGGCCTTCAACTCTCCATGCTCCTGCCTTAGCTTTCCATGTGCTAGTATTATACTTGTGCGCCACCCTGCCTGGCTGTGCTCATTTAATTTTTCTTCATTCTTAGCCTCATGGCAATTCCGCCTCTGTGATGTCTGTACCCAGTGTGCTTCCCAACTTTACTCCGTATGTGGAAGAGAGCGCCCAGCAGACAGTAATGTGAGTGCTTCCATGTCATGTGCAGAGGGATTGCTAAGGATGGGCAAAGTACCTGAGAGTCCCAGTGCATCTCGTGGTGGGACTGACGGCAGATAAGCCTGTTTCTCATTTGTCTTTGTTGTCTGTGCTAGTGAATTTAATAATCAGGATTATGGTCCTCTTACTGTAGCAGAAATAGCCACTGTGATACACATGAGGGATGCTGTTTGTTACTGGCAATAATCAGACAGTGGAGTTTTTGTTTTAACCTGTTTTTCTCTTCTGGGTATCTCTTTTTCTCCTTCATAATCCTTAACAATTAAAAATTTTTTTTTCTAGATTAAATAATGTGTATGAGCGTTTTGCCTGCATGTATGTGTGTATGTGCTCCACATGCATGTCTGGTATCCACAGAGGTCAGAAGAGAGCATTGAATTCTCTGGGACTGGAGTTACAAACAGTTGTGAGCTGCCATGAGGGTGCTGGGAATTCAGTGTGGGTCCTCTGAAAGTACATGAGCTCTTAACTGCTGAACCAGTTTTTGTTATAAATTAGGCAAAATAAATAGATAAATAATTACCCCAAACTTTAATCTTTAAAGAGTGTATGTTCTAATTCTAGGTTCAATTCTGTTTCAATATAAGAATTTCCTTATAACTAATATATGTATTTTAATCTTTTTTTAAGACAAAGTTCCTGCTTAGACCGTGCTAGCCTTGAACTCATAGAGATTCATATGTCTCTGCCTCCCAAGAGCTGGGATAAAAGGCACATAATACTATGCCTTTATTCCTTTAGCTTTATAGCTAATTTATAACTCACACCATGTGATAGGCACTGGAGGGATACAAATTGAGTACAATATTGAGCAAAAATTCTGTCTCAAACATAAAACACGGGAAGCCATCAGAGCCTTTATAGAATTGATATTGAGCCTTATATCGATTTCATTTTTAAATTTAAACTTATTTGTTTTTTTTGAGACAGGTTTTACTATATACAACGGCTGTCCTGAAATTCACTTTGTAGACCAGTCTGGCCTTGAACTCACTGAGATCCACCTGTCTCTGCCACTGCCTCCCTAATGCTGGGATTCTAGGCATGTGTCACCACTCTGGCTGTGTTTTAAAATTTTTATTTTAATGTGTGTATGTGTGTGTGTGTACACCTGTGTATGTATATGGACACATGTGGAGGGCAGAGGCAACTCAAATGCTGGGGTTATACTCAAGCACCCTCATGCCCGGTCAGGTGGGGTTTTTTTTTTCTTAATGATTTGTAGTTGTTCTTCATGTTAAGAGAATCATTCTTTGCTGGAATTCTCTGACTTAACTGTTTTAGTCAACTTTCAGTCACTGTCTCAAATACCTGAACAACCAGCTCCTAAACAGAAAAGATTTATTTTGGCTCAAGTTTAAGAAGTTTTAGTATGTGGTCATTTAGACTGGATGACCCTAACTTACTACTAATTCCCTTCAAAGCATGGGTGGTCCTCTGAACTCACACCTTGCGCTCTAGTGTTGGAGACCAAACTCTGTGCCTTGATGTAAGCATACCTTATCACTGAGCTCTAGAATATAATTACCGTGATGCTTATGAGTTATTTTAGCTCCATTTTTAAAATCTCACTTCGTTTTTGTTTCAAAAACAAATCATATATAGTCCTGCTCCTGGTATTGTCCATCTGTTTGGGCAAAGTAAATAGCAAATAATGCACTTTGACTTTGAATGATAACTGTTTCCCTTCCTTAGGACACCCTGTAAAATTGAACCTAGTATCAACCACATTCTCAGCACCAGAAAGCCAGGGAGAGAGGAAGGAGACCCGTTGCAGAGAGTTCAGAGTCATCAGCAAGGGTGTGAGGAGAAGAAGGAGAAGGAGAAGATGATGTACTGTAAGGAGAAGATTTATGCCGGGGTCGGGGAGTTCTCCTTTGAGGAGATCCGAGCTGAGGTGTTCCGGAAGAAGCTGACAGAGCGAAGGGAAGGTATGGGAAATTCTAAGAAATAACTTTGCAAGTCTGGGAGAGATTGCTTCCCTCCCTTACTTGTACCTTCGTGTGCTGGTGTTTCTATGCTTGTATAGCTGCTTCTCCTCCCCCCCCCCAGCTCGTGTGCGTGCATGCGTGTGTGTGTGTGTATGTGTGTGTATGTGTGTGTGTATGTGTGTGTATGTGTGTGTGTGTATGTGTGTGTGTGTATACGTATGCTGAATTGTTATTGGTGCCTCCCATAAAACATTTTTATTGAGAAAACAGCCTGTGCTCCAGAGTAAAAGAGGTGGTCAGCTACAGGAGCATCCAGGCACAGCTGAGGCCATGCATCAGGCACATCCTCCTTATGCTGCCTGAAACACAGTCTCATTTCTCTAGCAGCTTATATTGTGTTAACACATTCAGTCATATCCCATTCACTTGGAATATTTATTTCTGTTATTTTTCTTTTCTTTTTTTTCTTTTTTTTTTTTTTTTTTTGGTTTTTCGAGACAGGGTTTCTCTGTGTAGTCCTGGCTGTCCTGGAACTCACTCTGTAGACCAGGCTGGCCTTGAACTCAGAAATCCGCCTGCCTCTGCCTCCCAAGTACTGGGATTAAAGGCATGTGCCACCACCTCCCAGCTTTTCTGTTATTTTTCAAGTCACTATTTCATTCTAAAATTAAGGGAAGATTTGTAAATTGAGGGGAAGAGAAGGCAGTTCTTGTTCTGGAGTTGTGTGTTCTGGTGTTAGACTGATACACAGGAGAGGGAATACTGGAGACTTCAGGGCGTTAGAACAAGAGAGTGAAACAAATTTCAAATGCTGTATTGAAAAATGAGCGCTCTGTGCCTATGTGGGGAGAGGACATGGTTGCAAAGCAAGGGGCCAGCTGAGTGAGGCTTTGTTTGTTTTGTTTGAGACAAGGTCTCATTTCACTATGTAGACCAGGCTGGTCTCAGCCACCTGAGTGCTGGGATTAAAGGTCTGTACCACTACACCAGACTGAGTAACTGCCGTTTGAAATCAGGAACTGGAAGACTGGAAGAATGGCTAAGCAGTCAGGGGCATTAGATGCTCTTACAGAGGACCCAGGTTCACTATCCAGCATACATGTTCACACCCATCTGTAACTAGAGCCCAGGGAGCCAGCATTCTCTTCTGGCCTCTATGGCATCAAGTACACAGTAGTATATAGGCATATGCAGGCAAAACACCTGGGCACATAAAGGGTAGGGTAGGGGTAAGCTCTTGTGCACTGTGTAAAAGCATCACCTGCCAATCAAAAGCTGTGCAGAAGGTAGGATTTCTGGGAAGAAATAGAAACTAAGCTGGAGGGTGAAACTCTGTGATAAGAGTGTGTATGAAGACCTGGCTTCAGTCAGTCTCTGGCACAGGAAATACCCCTAAGCTCCAGAGAGCCAAGGTAACAAAGCAGATGAGGAGGCACCTCAATAAAATTGCTTTTCTAAGGAGAATTCCTAGTTCATACTTACTATAAAGAAGTAAGGTGAAACATATTTTATTCTCAGCCGAAGAAATCTCTGTGCTGAGGTTTAGTGGGATTTGGGTAGATAAATTCAGTTTTGTCTCAGAGTTTCAAGTCTTAGTCTGCAGCTCTGGTTTTCTCCCATAGTTCATTGAAAGACCTGAAATTTCTCATTTCTCATCACTGTCAAATCTGCCATCTCTGCCCGCTTACCCTCCCTGGCTTGCTTTCTGTAAATACTGTTCACAGTTCTCAGTTTTGAGTCCTCTTTTCTCAACAGTTCTCCTTCCCTCCAGCATTTCTCTCTCTATCACTGTCATACACATGGATTCCCATTGTTCTGAAGTCCTTTATTATCCCCTTGGTCTTCTCAAGCCATTCGCTCATCATTCTGCTTCCCAAAAGAGCAAACTTCCCATTCTTTAAAACAGAAAACAACAACAACAAAAACCTTACTCCTATTGTTCAGGGCAGGGGAGGGTATGGCATGCAGGGTGTGTGGGGGGTTGGGGGGGTGGATGCAGAAGACATTACTGTGGAGTGTTTCTCTCCCTGTTAAGTGGGTTCTGGAGACAACTTAGGTTGTTAGAATTGCATCTTGGAGTGGCAAGGGCTTTTATCTATCCACTGAGCCATCTTCCTGCCCCCTCTTTATTTTTCTCATGTATATGTGTGTGTTGTAGGGATGTGGGGGTCTTCAGTCTCTCTTAGTTACTGTTCTATTCCTGTGAAGAGATACCATGACCAAGGCATTAATAATTCTTAAAAAGAAAGTATTGAATTGGAGGTTGCTTACAGTTTGAGAGGTTCAGTCCATTTTCTTGGTGGGAGCATGGTGCCATGCAAGCAGACGTGGTACTGGAGAAGGAGCTGAGTGGTCTATATCTGGATCTGCAGTCAGCAGGAAGAAAGGGACACTGGGCCTTTCTTTTGGGTGAACCCCAAAGTTTACTCCCAGTAATATTCTTCCTCCAACAAGGCCGTACCTACTCTAACAAGGCTCCTAAATAAGTGAGCTCATCAGGACCATTATTATTCAAACCAGCGTAAGGAATGTGTGCTATGTGTTGCTCTGGTGCTAAATAATCTGATGTTAATTCTGCTTTCTCAAGGGGGGGCTGCTCCCCTACCCCCCAAGTAGTGGATCATGTACTCAGGTGATCTCATGTGAACCTTTTCCCCCATTTTATCTGGTCAATAAAGGCTAGAGGCTATGATTAGGTAATAGAGGAGAAAGGTGGAACAAGAGAAGAGAGGGGAGGACAAAGAAGGGAAGGAGAAAGAAGATGGAGCAGAACCACATGACCAGGAGAGACTACAAAGGATCTCATAGCTGGGGAATAAGTTAGTGTAGTGTTAGATCGCTTATAAGTGTAATAACTGGATTGTGTGTTTTTAATATGGGCTTATTGGGGTTGAAATTACTGTTACATATGTGCGTGTGTATGCATAGGCATGCACATTTGTGTGACACTGAGAGTTTCCCTCCATCACTCTCCACCTTCTTCATTGAGGCATAGTCTTGATAAAAGCCAGAGCTTGTCTATAGACTAGTGTGGCTAGCCAGTTTGCTCTGGGAATCCCCATCTAAAGTGCGGTAGCCATGCGTGCATGGCAGGCACTCTCACACCAAGCATCCACCTGACCCCAGACCTCCCCAGACTTCTCACTGCCAGTGTTCTCTTAGGTGTTCTGTTTGTTCATGGTCAAATCCAGTGCCTGTTTCTTCGTAATACCACATGGCTACCTTTCCAACTCCACCTTTTACTGCTTTCCTTCTAAGAAGCTACAAGCAAGTTAGCTTTCCTCTGGATTCAATACAGTCGTCTGCCTCTAGACAGACACTTCCCCTAGATCTTTATATGACTGATCCCTCATCATTCAGTTTTAGCTTTATCATTGCATTTTTTTTAATCAAAAAGATGATTGGTTTTTAGTAGATATGATCTGCATATCTTTTTTTTTAAAAGATTTATTTACTTTATGTATATGAGCGCTCTACTGCATGTACCCCTGCAATTGCCAGAAGAGGGCATCAAGTCACATTACATGTGGTTGCTGGGAATTGAATCAGGAGCTCTGTAAGAGCAGTCAGTGCTCACTGAACCATCTCTCCAGCCCCGGCCACACCCCGCCTGCATATCTTCATCTCCTAAACAGTTCTATACCCTCCGTTGGTACTGCTGCTGTTTGACATTTTTGCTGTATTGAGCTTCAGGTCTGTACTGTAAACCAAGTGATCTATCACTGGGCTATAGTGCCCTCTCCCCGCAAGTTTGGTGGGTTTTTTGTTTTGGGGGGTGTTCTGCTTGTTTATTTATTTGAGAAATATATTCCTGTAGCTTAGTCTGGCCTTGAACTTACTGTGTATCTGAGGATGATATTGTCTTTTGAATCTTCCTGCCTCTACCTCCCAAGGACTGATCATATAGGCGTGCGTCACTGTGCCTAGTTCTTTCAGACCCAAGGTTTCATGCTAGGCAAGCATGCTACCAACTAAGCTACATTTCATGCCCTGTCTTATAGATACTTTTGGTGTTTTTGAGAAAGTCTTGCTTGTAGCCCAAGCTAGCTGAAAACGCTAAATGATTCTCTTATTACTTTATGTGTTTCTGACATATTTGGATATTAGCTTCAAATGGCCAAGGATTTTTGTATCACTGGAACCTATTTTCCGTTGTACGTGTGCATAGTAGGTATTCCTTTTTTTCTAGACCAGATACGTAAAAGAATAGAGAAGCAGACCTCAAATTGAGGGCCTTGTTCTCCTTTTATCCTTTTCATAAGTATGGACATGAACGCTGTATGAGCCTCAGAGGCAGTTTTTACAGGATGAATCTTAAAAAAAAAAAAAAAAAAAGCCTCAGCTAATTTCACTGTTTCCAGCTGAACTGTTGACCAGTGCAAAGAAGAGGGAAGAAATGCAGAAGCAGATTGAAGAGATGGAGAGGAAGCTGAAAGCAATCCAGACTGTTCAGCAAGAAAGAGCTGGCAACCAGGTACTTTTATTTTATTTTATTTTATTTTATTTTATTTTATTTTATTTTAAACTGCTTTTTAATACAGAAAACTCAGGCATGCCAGGCAAGAGTTCTACCTTTGATGTACATGTCCAACCTAAAAAATATTTTTGAGCCTGGCAGTGGTGGCGCATACCTTTAATCCCAGCACTTGGGAGGCAGAGGCGGGTGGATTTCTGAGTTCAAGGCCAGCCTGGTCAGAGTGAGTTCCAGGACAGCCAGGGCTACGCAGAGAAACCTTGTCTCGAAAAACCAAACCAAAAAAAAAAAAAATTATATATATATATTTGATAGTTTATTGGTTAGCAGGAAAGCAATTTAACAAGTGACTTTAAATGGGGTTTATGGCCTATAAAATAAACAGTGTAATTCATTGACTTCTCAATTTTATTTTTGTTGTTAATGCTGATATTAACTTTCTATTTTAGTCATGGTCCATTAAAATGGGGTTAATTTTTAAATTTTAATATATACTCACCACTGCCCAGTTGAGTACAACAGTACCAGTTTGACTAGGAACCTAAATTATTGGAGGGACTGTAACCACAGGCTTTTCTCCCCTTGTCCAAGTTCCCAAAACAATGACTCTGAGACTGAATTAGTTATGGACAAATGAATGTCTAGGCCACAACTCTCGGCTCATTTGTACTAGCTCATAACTCCATTATTCAGTTTAGACTAGCCTAAGTCCTGCCACGTGGTCAGTTACCTATCCTCAAGTTCATGTATCTGTCTCCTCAGAGTTTGGGGCAAATCTCTTCTTGTGTTTGACTATCCTGTAATTCCCTCTTCCTATTGGAACTCCCCTTCCTTTTTCCTGCCTCAGCTCATTGGCCAATCAGCTTTTTATTGACAGGTAGTGCTTCCATACAGTACACAAGAGAGTTTTCTCTACATCTACCCCCTTAATCCAATAAAAGGCTCTTTCTCTTTTAATAATAAACTATAAACAATAATAACAATTATGATAACTATCAGGTCCAGTCCATATGTATTTGGCAACCTTGGAGAAAGTATTCTATTATCTATTCTGTCTTGTGAGTTCAGAGTTCTCTACCTAAATTGTTTTCTATCATAGCTTGCATTACTAACATAAAAACATCCTAGACCTAAAAACATCTTAAATCCTAACAACTTGAGTTTAATTGTGAGACTATAATTAGTCTTTAACCCCATCAGAGATTGAGGGGGAATAAATATTACCTGAGTGTGTAGGAAGTGAAGACAATCAGCTTCCAAAACTATAGAAAAGACAGAGAAAACTGTCTGTCTGTACAGTTCCCCCAAGTTGTCTCTAGAACATTGGAGCATCCATCTTCACTCTGGCCCAGAATATCTGCTAGACTTTTCTGTGAAGCAGAAATTACGAAGGGCTGCTTACCTGTCTTGGCAGCAGTGGACTTCCCTGTGTCTCATTTGTCCAGCCTGGACAGCATGTTGTCAGCAGTTGAAGCAAGGGCAGTCGTGCCCAGTGGCTAGTTTTCCACTTTTGGTTTTTCGAGACAGGGTTTCTCTGTGTAGCCTTGGCTGTCCTGGAACTCACTCTGTAGACCAGGGTTTTCCACTTTTGAAATAAACTCCCTATGGAGGTTCTTCAGTGTTCATCATCTTCTTTGAAGTAGAATGGGGACGCTATCAGGAGCAGACCTCTCTTGTCAAAAAAGACCTTTTGCTAATAAAAAATCCTTACAGGCCACTTTCTGTGGATCTCTGAGGTTTTTGAAGACTATCTATCTAGAGTATATCAGAATAGGCAGACACTTGATTATTTCTAGCTGTTTACTGTCTGTTCAACTTTGAAAACATCTTTTTTTTTTTTCTTCAGTTTTATGAGACAGGGCTTCTCTGTATAGCCCTGGTTGTCCTGGAACTCACTCCATAGACCAGGCCTGCCTCTGCCTCCCAAGTGCTGGGATTAAAGGCGTGCGCCACCACCGCCCGGCTGAGAACATCTCACTATAATTAGTTAGAGTAGTATCTAACATGACCATGAGTTTGATTGTCTGACTACTAACTTTAAAATCATCCTAAACAGTTTGCACTTGTAGCTTTCAAGAACTAGAACTTCACATTGCATAGGTACAATACCTTAAACAAGAGCTGAAACATATACATAGTATGTTGAAGCAAAATAAAATCCTATCTGTATCAATGTACAAACTCCATACCAATGTAAAAATATTTCTCTTGTTGATGTTTTTGGTCTAAAAGAGTAGATTCAATAGTCTACCCTTTTATCCTATTATTCCTACATCCTTCTTTTTCCTTTGCATCCCTTCTCCCTTCTTTCCCCCTAACCTTAGAAGAAAAAGAAGGATAGAGGAAAGAAAATTGAAGAGAAAAAGAAATCCTTGAATCTAACCTCACTTATTTTATTTTCCTCCCTGCCCAAGACCACAAATATTTGTAACCCTTCCCCGTAAATGAAGACAAACATCCAACATTCAGTGAACTACCAAAACCCGCCCCGCCCATCCCTTAGAAAGTGGGGGCATCACTTTCTTAATTGCTTCCTGCTGTCTAGGGGCATCATTTACCTTTTTCAAGGCGGGATTTGGGGCTAAGAAAATTGGGATATTGGTTAGCTAGCTGTAACATTTGCTGTCCAGTTTCTGTGTGCTGAGAAAGTTCATGGCTTAAATGAAGTCCTGACTGGAACAGTCTGTGATGCTGGTTGATCTAGCTGGCCATTTTGAAATTGTCCTGGATGTAGACTTTTGGGGAAACAGCGTTGAGGCAGCTTAAGGTAAGGTCAAGCAGGATGCTGAAGTAAATATGTCTCAGTGTCTCAGCATCCTTCTCAGCACCCACAAGGGTGAGTCTTATCGGAGCTTCTTTAACTTCACTGGTCCCTATTATCATAAAAACGTTCACAGGGGATGCACACTTCTGCTTTAACACGTGTATGGAATGCTAAAGATGGTCTCTGCTCTCTCTATTCAGGCGGGTAAGGTATCTGTCTGCCTGTGTAAGTTAGTTTGAGCTAGATAACTAAACTGAAATATGAATTTCTATCTATGCCATTTGAAAGGATGGCATGATTAGTCCTGAGGATTCTGTAGCCAACAAGATTTGTTATGCATAGCTAAAGTCCTGGTTGGAGACATTTCCATGTTTCAGCCAGTCTCAGAGTTGTTCCCATAGAGATGGATCAGCAATTAATGTTACATGTTTTGTTCTTCTTGGTTTCTTCCTTCACAGGTGCAGCCTAACTCTTTAGGGGGTCTCCTCCTGTCAAACCTGATTTTTATCAATTTCGAGGAAGTTCACAGATTTTTTTTTTTCTCCTGTTGTAACAAAGGCAAAATATCTTCCTCAAAGTAACACATTTCTTTCCTTCCATTCTGAGGTTAGGAAAACAACCTTAATATAAAAAGCAGGGTTTTTTTCCCCCATAATGCAATGTATTTCAGCAACTGTGTTATCTATCTCTTTGATATCTTAAAAAATTAAAGTCCATAAAGCATTATTTAATCTATCTCTAGGAGATCTCCTATCCCCCTTCTGCTCTGTGAGTATTTCCTTTAAAATCCTGTTAGATCATTTATAACTGCTCAGCCTGTAAGATTGTAAGATACATCTGCAGTAGATTTATGCCGTAAAGACTAAAATATTGTCGTATTCTAATGGACACACGTACCTGAGCGCTGTCAGCTTTAATCTGCAGAGGCGTTTCTTTTTTTTTTTTTTTTGGTTTTTTGAGGCAGTTTCTCTGTGTAGCCCTGGCTGTCCTGGAGTTCACTCTGTAGACCAGGCTGGCCTCGAACTCAGAAATCCACCTGCCTCTGCCTCCCAAGTGCTGGGATTAAAGGCGTGTGCCACCACCACCCGGCTGCAGAGGCGTTTCTAAGATGGCTGCCAGCTCTAATAAATGTGCAATCTCAGAATCAGCCTTTTCAGAATTTAAGGCAGAAGCCCGTTAATTCTGAATATGTATCAATAGTATAGTGTGTCAACATGTGTACATATTTTAATTCTGCAGACTCTATAAAATAAACATATAATCTATTGTATGATATCACTCTAAAATATTGTTAAACCTAATTTGTATTCTTAATTCAAATATTGCGTCTCTGTGGGCTGCCATTCTAATTCCTCAAGCCTTTGTGCATGTTTCTCATCTAGAACTACATTTTTTGCTGTTAGTGTAGATTCCAAATTGGAGTCCTCTGAAGGTTCTTTATTCTGATTTAAAAGAATCTTCTAACCTCTCTTCTATGACTGCCCTCCACCCCCCAATCTAGCATTTCATCTTTCAGTTCTCTCCTTATCTAGGTGTTTTATTCTGGTCTCTCTTAAAAAGGATATATAAAAGTGTAGTCATTACTGTAAAAATAATTATTTGTATGCTGATAAGTGTTGAAATAAATAATTAAAATTGGCCACTGGTCAAGCCGACTATCTTAGCTGCAGCGGCTCTGCCTAGCTCAGCCACCATGTTTCTTGGCTGGAGGCCATGTGCGTGCCGCAGCTAGAAACAGCCACCCAGAAACACCAGCCCTGCCACCCAGGAGACGTCAATGTGGGAGATGGCTCTGCCAGTCTTCCACACTGTCTCTGCAAGGCTAGGCATTACCCAGACCATCCCGCCATCCACGAGGGCCCAGTAGGAAAAATGAGACTCTAATGCTCAAATTATCCAAAAGCTTATATATTTGGTAATGATCAGTAACAAGATGCTCATACAATCAGGAGTGTACATATTTTAATACCCAACCTAGATATACCAACTACCTTTGACTGTTACAGACACGTGAACATCCGCCTCCATGTCCCCCCCTTTTCTCTCCTAGCTCCTCCTCTCTCCTTACTCCTCCTCTTCCTCTCCTTACCCCTCCCACCCACATTAGCTTCTCCTACATATAAGAGAAAAATTATATGAGATCCAGATACATTGTGTCATTGCATTTTCCATTTTAACATAGAAAATATTTTTCTATTTAATTTCTAACTCTCTCCTTAAGGACTTCTTTCTTATTTTCAAATTAAATATTTCTTCCCTTTTTTTTTATTACCAGTGTTTGTATGCTTGTTTCTCCCTTTTATTTTCAAACTTAGTACCTTATTAGTTCAGAAGTTTGGGACTTTAGAGTCTCTCTGTGGCTCCAAGATAAAGTTCTTTTTGCCTTTATGTGTGTCTTGCAGGCTCCTGAGGCCAACGCCTGACTATGGGGCTAACCCCGTTCCTTCTGTTCAGTCTAGCTGGCTGCTTTTACTGGTTCTGGACTGTAGGCACAGTTTGCACTTCCTTGAGAGCTGAGCCTCATATCCTCAGTTCTGACTGGGAGCCAAACATATCTGCCCCAGCTCTGGGAAGTTTTTCTGCTTGTGGGTTATGCCTGAGGCTCAGCTTGCTCTCTCTTAAAAGGATTTAGCCTCCTGCTGGGCTAGGAAATGGTCTGGCTCTGGGAAGTGCTTGTTTCCTGCTTTTCCTGCTGCTCTCAGGGCTTTCTTGCTGGGCTTTAGGAGCCTTCTCATGCCCTATGCTTGGCTAACATGCCTCTTGTTGGACACCATTCTGTGCCCAGGTACCAGAAATGATTCTGAGACTAAATTATTTATGAGTGAACGCCTAGGCCAAAAGCTTTGGGTCATTCCACTAGCTCAGTTATTTAGTTTAAATTAGTCTAAGTCCTGCCATGGGGTTAGTTACCTCTTCTCAGGTTCATGTATCTGTCTCCTCAAGAGTTTGGGGCAAATCTCTTGTGCTTGACTCTATTCCAGAATTCTCTCTCCCTATTGAAACACCCATCTCCTATTTCCTGCCTCAGCTGATTGGCCAATCAGCTTTTTATTGATAGGTGATGCTTCTGTACACTACACAAGAGAGTCTCTCTACAAGAGACCTTTTGTCTGATGTGGTTAGCAGATGTCCAGAAAGTGGTGAAGCACATTTTAGCACTAGAACTTAAAAATAGCATTTCTGTATGGGAGGGACATTTGTTTTATTTATGTTTATATAAGCAGCAAGAAGAGAAGATGCTTACAAAGGACCCAGCCAGATTGCAGATTACTTCAGAGTCTCAGGAAATGTCGGGAATGCCTCCGTCCTGTCCTCTAAGCTCGAATTCTAGGTAAGACCACCGTGGTGGAAGGCAGAGTACTCACAGATTGTAGGACAGACGTTTGATTCTGGCTGCTTAGAGTCTCCACAGCCTTTTACAGTCCTGAGTGATGCCTATAGCCCTAGCACTTGGGGAGTGGAGGCAGGAGGATCAAGAATTCAAGGCCAAAAGGCCAGCCTGGGGTACATGAGGCCCTGTCCCCACCCCCACCCAAAAGTATAACAGGGATGGTACATGTCCTGTAACTCCAGTACTCAGGTGGGCAGAATGGTCAAAGTCAGTCTAACTGATAAAGTCTGGTAAGACAGTGTCTCAGAAAAGCAAACTGTGGGATGAAGACATACATTTACAGTATATTACATACGTGTCTGAGTGTCCTTATCAACCCCAGCTCAGTGCTGTATACACTGAATATATACTAATTAAAATCACCACTCAAAGATGGGCATGGTCACACATGCCTTTAATCCCAGCACTTGGGAAAAGAATCCCAGCAGAGGCAGGTGGATCTCTGAGTTTGATGCCAGCCTGATCTACGGACTAAGTTCCAGAACAGCCAGGATTACATAGAGAAACCCTGTCTTTAAAAAAAAAAAATCAAAACTCAAATAATTACCACACAAAAAAATCTGTTGTTCACACTAACATGTGCCTTCTGTGGTGCTGTTATTTTTGTTTTATAAAATTTGGTAGCTTAGGTTATTGTAATCTGCTTTAACTATTCTTGTGTTATCACATATATTCATAGCATTTTCAATGTGTAATAGTTCCCTCTTTAAGAGGATGAACAAGATTATGTTTAATATAGAAAGTCCTCAAACTTTAAAAGCAGTATGGCTGTCATGTGTCAGCTGCCTGTTGTCCCAGTTTGGGGAGGTAGCAGTTCCAGACCCCTGTCCACTGCGTTAGTTGGAGCCTCCCTGGACAATGTGAGCTTCTCTCTAAAACAGAAGGTTTCTTGTGGGTATTGAGCACATTTTTTTTCTTTTTAACAAATTTCTTCACAGGGAAATTTCACCTGTTGGAAATATTTTTCAAGAACATCCTGACTCTAAAGGTAAGTTGTATTTGACAGCATTTTGAGAATTAAAACAAATGTATTATATAGTAACAGTAAATGTTTTTCTTAATTATAATAAAGTAATTATAGGAAGACAGTGAACATATAGTATTTATTACTTGTGGCTTGAGAGAATATTTTTATAAGATTTTTTTACTTCTTTGAAGTATTTAGTTTCAGGCCAGCAGAATATCCTGACAGGTTAAGGCACCCACTGTAGAGCCCAAATCACCTGTGTTTTTATCCTCAGAACCCACTGACTTTCACACAATCACTGACAACAAAAATATGCTGATACATATGAAAATAAACAGTTATTTTACTTGGCACTTAGGCAAGCGTAACAGGAATATTCAGCAGTCAGCTATATAAGGAAAGCAGCTCTTGGAGAGGGGAATGTCTTAAACTGTTTTATATTCAGATTGGTTTTCTTTTCTGCTAACAATATGTTAAAAGTATTAGGCTTCCCATCTGTTAATCTCAGTTGAAAAAGATTCCACATATTTCCTCTCAGTTTTTTTTTTTTCATCAATGATGATTGTTGTGTAAAAAAAAAAGACAAAAACCTGTAAGCTATGAAAAATATAAGTTAAAGGAGACCTAAGGGCGGTAAGACGGCTCAGCAGTGATATCAAACAGAAGGTCTTGAAGTGCACTAACATGTTTTAAGTGGTAAAAACATGAATAGCCACTTAAAAGTAGCTTTCCTAAAAATAAATCTAGAGTCCTCTAATTCTAGCCTATAATGTCTAGGGGGCACAAAGCCGGGAGATGCGAGTTCAACCACAGAGGGAAGATACCTGGCAAAACCCAGCATGGAGAGATCAAAGAGAATATAAAAATAGACGTTTTGGGCTTCGTTCTCATATTTGTCTATATCCTTACTTATTTGTGTATGTGTGCACTTGCTTGTCGTGGCACATGTGGCGCTCAGGACAGCTTTCAAGTGTCAGTTCCAGGGATCAAGCTCAGGTTGTCAGGTTCAGTGACAAGAACCTTTTATCCACTGAGCCATCTCATCAGCCTCAGAAGGCATTTGACTCATTGACAGTATACAGACCAGATTATGCATTTCCAATTCAGACACATTTTAAACAAACATTGGAAACGGTTTCTAAAATGTAGAACTGGCTAGGTATTCAGAGATTGTTAGTTAAATAGATATTATGTCTTAAATAATAAAAAGAGCCTTTAAAAAAACTTAGAAAACATACTAAAACATTTGCAGATGAAATTAAGTGCTCTAGATCTGTGTCGGGCCATGCTGGGTCGGACTTGGGGGTTGGTAGCAAGGCTGGAGAGTATAGAAGCAAGTCATGCATGGTTAGATAATTACTATGAAATGATCTTTACTTTTATATGCCTTTTCTCCTATAAAAACAAATCCTAGGCTGGAAGGATGGCTTAGTGGTTAGGAGTGCCTCCTGCTCTCGAGGACCCATGTCTGGTTCCCAGCACACACATTGTGTGGCTTCAGGGGCGCTATACCTTTTTCTGACCTCTTCAAACATCTCAACTCACTGGTCTGTATATAATATACTCATACATACATAATATAATTAAAAATAAAATCGTTTTTAGTTGTGGTTTTTCTTTCAAACAATGCAGAATTAATTACTTTCTATAGTTTTCTTGAAGAATTAAATACTCCTAAAACTTTTTTTCTCCTTTTATAGGTCCCAGTATGCCTTTCTCCATTTTTGATGAGTCTCTTGCAGACACAAAGGACAAAAGGTTTGGTTTTATTGTTTTTGTTTGTTTGTTATAAAGAAATAGATCTTCCACCGGGCGGTGGTGGCGCACGCCTTTAATCCCAGCACTTGGGAGGCAGAGGCAGGCGGATTTCTGAGTTTGAGGCCAGCCTGGTCTACAGAGTGACTTCCAGGACAGCCAGGGCTGCACAGAGAAACCCTGTCTCGAAAAAAAAACAAAAAAAAAAACAAAACAAAACAAAAAAAAGAAATAGATCTTCCTATATATGTACACTTTCTTAACTTGAAATTTTAGATTTTTAAAAATTTTAAATTTAAAAAAAGTAATGTATGTGGATATTTTGCTTGTGTGACCAAGGTGGCCAGAAAATGGTGTTAGATCCCCTAGAACTGGAGTTACCAAGCAGCTGTGAGCCTCCCTGTGGGTGCTGGCAGTCGAACCCAGGTCCTCTGCAAGAGCAGCCAGTACTTAACACTAATCTCTCTCTCCAGCCCCTATCTATCTATCTATCTATCTATCTATCTATCTATCTATCTATCTATCTATCTATCTGTGTGTGTATATGTATATATATTTATAGCATATATGTGTTATATACATATGTGTACTATATATGTGTGTCTGAGTACATACATACATACATACATACATACATGTATGAGGGGGTACATTCCAGTCTATACATATGGAAGCCAGAGGACAACTTTGTAAATTGCATATCTCTTTCTACCATTGGGTCTCTCAGATACAACTCAAGTTAGCAGGTGTCTACTACAAAGCACTGTTACCCACTGAATCATGTTGTTCCCCAATATCTTGTGAGTGAGGGTAGCTAGGTACTTTGGTGTATACATTAAGGGCTGGGAAGAAGGAAGATCAGGAGTTCAAGGCCGACCTGGGATACATATTACAATTTTATCTCAACAAACAACCAAAAAAGCATAAATTAGAAGTTTACTGTTATTTCTATATGTAATAACAGGGAGTGCTAACTGGAACATGTCTTTTTCCCAGTCCTGCTATAGATGGTCCACAGGTTCTCAATGCCCAGCGAAGACCCCTCACAGTTCTCAAGACTACAGAAGTCATCACCGCAAATGAGGTTGTGTCTCCCGATGTTTGTGTAAGTTAACATAAATGGACTTAGTGAGTTATCTCACTCAAATATCTCAGAAGGTTAGCATTGGCTGGCTAGATGGCTCAGCAGGTAAAGGCCTGCCACACCTGATGGCCTGAAATTGGTCCCTGGGTCCCACATGATGAAATGAGAGAACTGATTCCCACAAGTTGTCCTCTGACCACGGCATGACTCTCCCTGATACATAGATGGACAAATAAATGTAATAAAATTCAAACAAACGTTAAACGTTCAACAAATGTTGAAGCTTGCTTGTTGTAATCTCACTGGACAGTGGAATAGAGGAGAATCTCAGATTTAAAGTCAGCCTAGACTGTGCAGTGAGTTTTAGGCTGCCTTGAGTACATAGCTAGATCTTGTTTAAAAGATTTGGATAAACATTAAGATTACTAACGTGAACTAGGCACATGAAAAGATATTCATAGTTATGTTACCAGGAAAATGCAAATTAGAGCCACAGTGGGATACTATGTTGTACCCACTATAATGCCTATAATCAAGAGACAGATAAAAGATGTAGAAAAATTAGAACCTTTATACATTGCATGAACAGCCCTTTTGAAAAACACGTTGGTCATTCCTTAAAATGTTAAACCTAGGGCAGTTAGGAGCACTTGCTCTCACAGAGGACCGACCTGGGTTTGATTCCCAGCCCTAGCTGGCAGCCCACAACAAGCTGTAAGGCCAACTGTCCACCGCCCTCTTGTGGCTCCCTTGGGTACTGCATACATCTGCTAACATATATGTAGGTAAAACATCCATACACATAAAATCATAAAATAATTACTAGACAGGCAGTGGTGGTTGCACACCTTTAATCCCAGCACTGGGGAGGCAGAGGCAGGATCTCTGAGTTTGCCAGTCCGGCAAAGCAAGTTCCTGGACAGCTAGGGCAACGAAGACAAACCTTGTCTTGGAAAAAACTTTTTACTAGTTAACCATAGTTACTATAAGCCACAGCATGCCTCACCCATGGCATACCCAGCCATGATAACTAAAGTCATACACAGATAGCGTAGAAATACTGTTCATGATCAAGAAAGCGACTCATGAGTAAATAAGATATATATCAACACAGTGGTGTATTACCTGACGATTCAAAGGAATGAATGACAGACTGGTATTTGTTACAGCGTGCTTGACCCTCACAGTAAGTAAGTGCAGGAAACTAGGCATTTCAAGTAAGTGAAATCATATATCTGGAGAGAGTATTGCTTTGGAAGTGACTCCCATGTTCTCCTGGCTTGGTACAGTTAAAATAATTTTCTCCACTCAGAAACATAAAATGAACTGTGTGGATCTGGTGTGATATAAAGAAACTTAGAGTAAATAGTTTTTCATTTACATGAAGTGTCCATAATAAAGCAGAGTAGTTGGGAATGATGGAGAGGGTGACGGCAAGGGGCTGGTAGTGTAGTGTGCTTTCTTTCTACCAAAATAGCACACTGATGTGAACACACCAGAACACTGAGATGTACACTGTGAGGTGATGAATTATATCACTTAAGTCTTAAGCGGGAGGTCACTAATTTGACAGCCTTGTCACACTTGCAAGTATTTTCCAACATACACGTAAAATGCCTTTTGTGGCAATGGGAATATTGTGTAGACCAGCCATTTTTCCTTTCTGTTCTTTTTATTATTACGATTTCCATGTAATTGTTTTGTGTTTATGTGTGGGGAGTGCTTGCGTGTGTATGAGGGCAGAAGTTCTTTCTTTACACCATGTGAGTCTCAGGATTGAACTCCACCTTCCAGGCCTGGCTGTGGGTGGCTTCACTCACTGAGCTGTCTCATGCTCCTCCTCCTGTTCTGTTCTATCTACTGTCATAGAGACTTGATAATATCCAGGGTAGAAAAGATAGAATATGGGTATTCGAGTCAGATGAAAAGACCAGAGACACTGGCATGGCATGGCACTTTGTTGAAACTTTGGGAAAGAAAACTCTCTACAGATGAGCCCCAGGCATTGCTGGAGGGTGAAGAGGCAGAGTGCGGGG